TGTTTTCATGATTCAATTCTGCTTTAGTTGATATTATTGATTCTTCTTTGATCCTATGAGAGGGAATACCTGATTAGGTCAATAGAGCACCATAGATTGATAGTAGTGGATCGATTGCTTTAGTCGAGGGTTGATTCACTACTTTGTATCGATTGAGAACCTCTTTCAATAGAGGGAGTCTAGTTCAGAATGCCTTGATCAGTTGTTCTAGAGAAGGATACGTCCCTCTAGGCAATTGACTCAAGAGGGCCTTGTTCCTTTAGTCGAAACTCAAGGTCTAGTCAAGGATTCTCCGCATTGTGAATGAAAGTGAAACAAGTTGGAAATCATCAATCGTTAGTCTGGCAAGTGGCTAGGGGGAATCATACCTAAGTGAGTTCCCAACCTGTAATTAGATTAACTTTAACTGTAGTTTGCTAGAGTAGTTTTAGTTCTTTCATCTTAATTTGGTTTGCTAAATAATAAACTGAAGCTGAGTAATAGTAACTCTAGAGACCCGTGGATTCGATATTTATCACTTGAGCCACTATACTGTAGTCCCTTCCATTGGTTACACTTGGCCATTGTTAGGTGTTGTGTCGTAGCGAGCCAGCGTGCACACCACGGTCCCGGGAATTCCTGCCTCTGGTGTTCTGCCCCCAAGAGTGATCTCTGGCAGCCAAGGTACTGATCATCTGGTTCAGTCCGGGTGGAGTCTTAGTAAGAATATCCCCTCCTGGGCATAGAGAATCAATCACCCTCTGGCTTTCCGGAGAGAGAGAACTGTAGAAGTTCCCCAAGGTGAATGCATCAATGAAGCCATGATGGGGACACTGCCAGAAAAATCCCATGTACCGCTCCCATGCATCACGAAGTGACTCGTCTGGCTCCTGGCGAAAGTGAGTGATCTCTCGCTGAATCTCTGTAATCTTCGATGTCGGATAGTACCTGTGCACGAACTTGTTGTCCAGATCGTCCCAAGAAGTGATGGACAAAGGGGGCTGGGTCTCCAAACACCTCTTAGCATTCCCCGCCAGAGAATGGGGGAAGAGGTGAAGGCGGATTGCGTCATCAGGGACACCGTTTAGCTTGAACCCGTTCCTCAACTGCAGAAAACGGGAAAGATGCACCCTTGCCTCCTCATCTTTCAAGCCATGTAACTGGATAGAGAATGTAATAAGTTGAATCCAGCATGGCTTGATCTCGAAGTTGTTCGATGAAATGGGTGGGTAGAGGATGACAGGGCGGATATCAGCAATCCGTGGAGTGTAGTAGTACTCCAAGGTGGGACCCGGCGGCGGTGAATGATGACGAACCCCATCTGCCTGGGGTATGGGGTTGTTCCCCAAGATCTGATTCACCGGGGGAACCTGGAGAGGATTCCCCTGGTGTGGGTTGTGTTCGCGTTCCATCTCATACTCTTCCTAAGAATCGCTGCTCAAATGGCCGTCTATGCGCTCCCCCGTAGCCAGTCTAGCTCGCTGTTGTCTCCTGAGTTGGCGACAGGTGCGTTCAAGCTCCAGATGCAACGGCAGTAAACCTCCCGACTGGCTACGGGTCATGCACTACCTGCACACAGTCAAGCAAGCAAACCTGTGAAGGCACAAGTGTGACAAAGCAAACAATGTGAAAAAGAAAAGCTAAATTAACAGAATTCACGTTTCTTCAACAACCTAGTCGTCCCCGGCAACGGCGCCAAGTGTAACCACTTCCTAAAGCATAGTATAACGGGTTTGGGTTTTAATGTCAACCCGGATCCTAGATGTGATGACTACTCCTTGAGTTCTTATTATTTAGCAGTGACACTTTAATGCAGGTCCAAACAAACAAACAAGCAAGCAATTAAACGGTTGTTTTCAAGTCGAGAGAGGTCACCCAGATATGGTTCCCCCTAGACTACAGTTAAGCCAGATTGTAATTTACCAAGTTCAATTTCAATGATAGTTACTGCGGGAGGTTCTTAAACAGTCTGAAGTCTCGACTAAAGGTCTCCAGACCCTCTCAATCTGAGTCCCCAGCGGCCGACTAATCTCCACCGGAGTAAACAGATTGAGGCCCTAACGAACCAAACCTCCACTACCGAAGTAAATTCGGTACAGAATAATGAATTGACTTCTCGACTAAAGTCGCCAATTAACTTCCTTCAATCAAGGGTGCTCTATAAACCTAGGCAAATATTCTCTTTCTAGGTTAAAGCAGAAACAACAGGAATTTGATCAGGATTCATGTCATTCAACAAATCAAACCCAATTGAATATAATCATACCACAGAATCTGTACTTGGGTTCATACAATCAGACCTAACATACAGATCTAGGGTTCTTCATACCCAGGTGAATAAGAAAACTACTCCATAAAGAGAGATGGAAAATCTTGCTCAGATGCGGAAACCATACTATGAAGGATGATAATCTGCTTCTGGCACTCAATCAGGTCTTCTCCGTGCTCAAGCCGGGCGCCAATGGTAATGGAGATCGATCTATGACACTTGCAGAGTCAGGTTCGTCACTTTCTCTCTCTAGGTCGCACTTTTTCTCACTAAAACTCGGAACCTCTATCCTTTGGCTGCAAATTGGGTTAAAAACACAGAATTTCCCGACTCACATGGCCAGGCTACACAGCCGTGTGACTTCTCCAGTTGCCTGTGTGAGTTGTGCAAACCGCGGCGTTTTGATAAGTGACTCAGGCTTCCTACACGGCCACAACCCACACGGCCGTGTGGAATTCTAGGATGCCCGTGTGAGGTCCCTGGAATTTCCACACTGCCACAGGGGGTCCCCTACACGGCCCGTGTGACTTTGCTCGTGCAATTTGGTGCCACACGGCAAGGCCACACAGCCGTGTAGGTTTTAGGCGTGCCCGTGTGGCTCCATCAGCTTCATGCCACATGTCCACTCTTCATCCAATCGACCCCGAACTCGTTCCCAAAACCTTCATTCACGTACTAGGACGTGAAATATCACAAACAAGAACAGCCTAGCTCAAGAACAGGGGTAAAAACATGTGTAATTAATGGTCTATCACCTATACTTCAATGTTTTCAATAAAAAAAACCTATCAATTCCACAAACTACCGAAAATAAGAATTGGAGCTGCATAAACTAGAGGGAGCAGTAAACGTACCCTCTATAGGAAGATGACAGTCTTCGACGACTTTGTGATAGCAAGTAGAGTATAAACGGAGATGAGATGGTGATCGGGCGAAGAAGCTGAGTCTTGAGTCCCGTCAGCAACACCAACATCGACGGAACGAGTGACTATGATCTCCGGTTGGCCGAAGAAGTCGAGTCTGGAGTCTCGGCGAGTGAACGGAGATGAACAAGGATGACGAGGCGGGAGAATTTTGGGGGAAAGCACTACACGCGAGGAAGAACTCTGTTTCCCGAAAATGAATTGGGATTTAGCCATTTAGGGGCTCTGTTCTCGGTTTTGTGGAGCACGAGAACTATTAAAATTAATTAAATTAAAATGGTGCAAAGAAACAAGGGTAGGGATGCAGAAGACAAGGTTCAAACATGCAACCTCCCATGAACATGTTTGGAGTTTTACCACTGCACTACAACTATTATACATGTTCATTTATCGGAGATTCCTATACTTCAATGTTTTCAATAAATTCCCCCCCCCCCCCCAACCCACCCCACTGCTGCTCTAGCTTCGCCCCTAGTTCTTCGGCAGAGAGAAATATGTGGGTAGGGGGGAGGAGTGTAGAAGCTCTCTGGAATTCTAAATTCCAATATCCCCAAATCATTACGTCACTCTTCCCATTTAGGGCACCAAACACCAATTCCCTCTTAAATCTTTTTTTATTTCAAGAAGCTTCAAAAAATGACTCTCCATCGAACGATGGAAGTGGAAGCGCCTCTCGGAGTTGAGATACGTGTGCTTGCTAAGGACCTTGTAGACAAAGTGGCAGAATGTGAAATCTCTCATCCGCAGAATATCTGAAGCTGGTAACGTTTTTACACCCTGATATTTGAGTTGTCCAACCGGCGATGACCTCTAGAGGGTGATGTTTCAACTCAAAGTCTTTTACACCAAGTTTTCGTCGAAATCAAGATTGGAAACTCTAGAACAGTGATACTTCCTATTGGAGTAGAAAGTCACGTGACCAAGTATGTGATGGTTAAGAGTTAACGTTGTTATTTCTGTTAAGGGGTCTTGTGGGTTTGTGAGTCAGACTTGGAGTCAAGTAAGTTAGAGTTGGTTGTTGGTGGTTGTTAGTGGGTTACTGGAAATCCCGGGAATAATGGTAGAGGTAAGCTAGTGGAGCCGTTTTTTAGAGTCTGTTGAGAAAACGCAGCTTGTATATATAGTTCTGTTTAACATTAATGAAAATTAGTTAGTTTGCTTTCCATTTCGTGTTAACAAATTGATATCAGAGCCTTATATGTTAAAACCGAAATGATTAAGGTTTCGGCAGCCGTGGCCACCTCCCGAAGGTAAGTAACCAGAGAGATAATGGAATCAGGGTTCCGTCCAATTGAAAAATCAAGAGGTGGAGATCTTCTCAAGCCGCCTCTGTGAAATCGGCGATGACATAGGGGAGGAGAATATTGTTTGTGTCACCAGAGGCATTTAGTAGAGGTGCCAATGGTGGCCTGATTTTTCAAAGGCCACCACCCGTTTTATGTGTACGAAGAGAAATAAATTGGGATTGAGAAAGTGAGTGAACGATTGGTGAACCAGAGGAAGAGAGTGGGAATAGCAAAAAGAGGCAAACCACGGCTGACAGAGCTGGTGGCGATAGAGGCACTCATGGATTCGGGGGACGAGGAGGCGACCAAGGAAGGGATTGTCATTGCAGTTGTCGTGGCGAGGAGGAGGAAAAGTGGTTTTCCGTGACCGAGCTCGGACGTATGGTAAAAGAAGACAACACGAGGCCTATCAAACAGATTGTGCTCGAGAACCCCATTCAACTTTGATGAACCAGCTGCCGAAAGTGTAGCAGATAGCGCAAACCCAAGTTGAACAGCACTGCAGTGACAATTTCTGTAATCGAGACTGATTGGGACTTGACGTCACCATTGGTGGATGGAGAACAAAGGTATTGTGTCACCGATCATCGACGAACAGAACTGCCTCATTTCTTTCCACTTTGGCTGGTGAGCATAGAAAGGAAGAGACGAGAAGCAGAGCAAAAAGAACACGAGATCATCGACTCCCTCGTCATTCCTGACATTCTGAAGGACGAGGTAAAGAAGATAGCCCCGTCCAGAAGTAGACTCGTGCGGACAGCGCACCCGATTCAAGGCCTTTGTAGTCGTCAGCGACGAAAAAGGCCACATCGGATTGGGTGTCAAGTGTAGCAAAAAGTAGCCACTGCAATTCACGGCACCATCATTCTGGCGAAGCTATTCGTGATTCCAGTGAGGAGAATTTTGATAGAACCAAGGATTTGTTTCTATCTAGAGATAGTAATTTAGGGGATCAACTAGAGATTGATCTCCCAATTACAACTAGGGATTGGAAGATTGGGGGAAAGAATTAGAGAAGAGAGGGAGTTAGAGAAGTGCTACGATAGCAGCTAGGGAGAGGGAACGAAAAGGGTTCGGCTAGGGAGAGGGAAGAGAGAAAGAGTTGAGATGCAAGTAGGTTTAATATTCTGCTTAGTGAAATAAAACCATTAGCTAACTATTTATATAGTTCGCTAATAACCGAATACTACCCCAAACATAATAACCCGCCCATAATCCCCAAATAATGTTAACAACTCATAACAACTAATAAACCGACAAAACGACCAAAACATGCGAAGTTTATGTTTCCATCATCCACACCTCCTTGCGAACAACCTTCATCCCAAGGTTGAGCTCACATTCACTTATTTTCTTCCTTGGGATCCACTACCAACTCGAACCCCGCCGCGTCCTCCTCGACTTCGTCCTCCCATCGACCTATGAACATCAGCATTTCCGGCTTCGCACACTTGTGAGTGGTGACCAACTGTAAACCGCTCATTGTAGTTGAAGCATTTGCCTTCTTTTCGCTTCTGATTGATCTCTGCCTGTGACAGCTTGTCAAAACCTTTTTGCGGAGTCGGTGGACTAGACTGAGCCGCCGTCACCACAACGGTGCTCGCCCCAGCTGGCGTTGCCGCCCCCGCCAACGGAGTTGCTTCCTCCACCGATCGGTCTCCGGAATCAACCAATGGTGTTCCTCCAGTTGTCTAAATCCTCCTCTTTGTGACCTGCAAGACGAAAAGCAGCTTTAAAGGACTCAGGTTCAAAGACCTTGACTGCAGATGCAATCTCTAGTTTGAGCCCTGCCATGCACAACTCAACGAGTGTCTCCTCGGGAACCCCTTTGCACTGGTTTCCCAACTTGAAGAATTCCGCCTTATACTCCGCCACTGTCCAGGTCTGTCGGAGCTTGGCCAACTGTTCTGGAGCCCACCCTTCCGACTTACCAAACTGGTAATGGAGCTCCTCCTAAAACCTCGACCAAGTGATCAAGGTCCCCTACTAAGCGTATGATCTCTCCAACCATTCCCACCACTGAAAAGCATCCCCCTCCAAATAGAAGGACGCCAGATGCGCCTTCCTCTCCTCCTTGGTGGGGTGGTTCCGGAACCACCTATCTGGTACATACAACCATAAACCTGCATCCCCTTGACCATTGAATTTTGGAAACTTAATAGTAGGGGGTTTAGCCCTGAACAGAATCCCATCTTCACCCTCATAACCTCGATAGTTCCCACCATACCTGCCCATGCTCGATGGTCCCCTGTACTGGCTAGAAAAACCTGACGGTTCTCGCCCATACCTCCATGCCTCCTCCTCAACATCATGGCCCTCTAGGAAGTACTCCTGCCCTTCCCACGGACCGCGCCCAGTCTCTCTTGCCTGCCAGGTGGGCGGCCCACCTCACAAGACGCCTCGAAGGGAGGCTGAGAAGCACCGCTCGCCCCATAGTATGCTCCCCTCCTCGCCAAACCCCTACTGTCCACGGTGACCAGCTGCTGGTCAGGTTGGTTTTGAACCGAAACGGTCCGAACGAGTCAGGTCCAACCGATACCGGTTCAATTTGGTTCACCATTGCCTCTCGATCCTGGTTCCTCTGGTCAGTTCAGCCAGCCCCAGCGTGGTTCACACCAGGTTCGACCCGCCTCCAGCTCCTCCTACGTCGGTCCCAACTAGCCCGAATTGTGACTGTGGATAGCATTATCGTAGCCCGATTTCTTAGCTTTGCCCCGTAGGGATGCCATTTCTTGGCCGCCAGGGTGGGAAACAAACTCGGGCCTATGCATGGGATGAAGGAGACGTGGCCCGCATGCTCGCTCCACCCTAGGTCGGCCGCTGGCAGCATCTCCGCTGTCCCTGCCGAATGCAACTCGCGCCGCCTTTGACTCGTCCCTAATATCACAATTAATTCAATAGGGGCCGGTCCGTGTACCCCTAGTTCAGTCATTTGAATCATTATCTAGCAAATCGGTTTTGGTTGAAAAGTTTTCTAATTAATGTAAAGCAAGGCAAAAGTAAATGGTTTTGAAAGCTCTATTGTGAGAAGGATCCTTCGAGTGTCGCTTCCCCCTAACCAATGTAGTTAAACTATAGTTTTTATGTATAAGCGGAATGATGGGTACAAACTTAAGCGTAAAAGCGGAGCGTAAGAACGTAAGTTTATATGAACCATTGAAATTGTGAAAAATCAACTTAAAAGACTAATAGGATGCACACACAGAAAATTGGAAAAGATTTTGAACTAGAGTACATTCTAACTCAGAACAGGTTCATAAACATAGAAAAAGAGTTGAATCATAACTCAGAAATATTCATATTATGGACATCACAAGCCCTCCAAAAAAATTGATCATGATTTATGCTATAGTTGTTATTGTCACTAACATCATGCTCCTCATAAATACATCAATCCTCATTCATGTTAAAAGAATCACTTTGAAGCCAGCTGCATGATCACTTTAGTTTTTTCATCTATAAAAAATCATTTGACCATCCCATGACATGCCAAATCACTCCATAAACATTATCGTTAAAAGCACTTATAAGCGTCCTAAAAGCTAGCTTTTAAGGATTTTTATGCACATATTGTGGTTTTGAAGAGTTTATATTAAGCTTATGATGCCAAAAGATTTTTCAAAGAAAATTACTATATTGGAGGAGGTAAGAACTTAAAAGCGTAAGCTTTTAGGCTTAAACTATAGCTTTTAACTACATTGCCCCTAACTACTACCATGGTATGTGAATCGCAGTGATTGCTATGGTGAAGGTGACCGCGAACCGTTAGGGGACGCAAATATAGTCGTAGACCAAAATCTCGATTGCCTAACCGAGGGATACATTATAGGCTCTTCAAGTGGCTCTCTCGGTTAAGCCAATCGATGGTTGACTTACTCCCTCACTCAACCCAATGGTTGGTCAGCTTAATCGCGCTTAAGCAAATTGTTTAATCCAACATCGAGGTTTCCCTAAATTAACCTAGATAGGTGACTTAAAAATCCCTAGGAATCCCAACTCGATTGAGCCTCCCTTGAAAGGGGGCTTTCCCTCTCTAATCTAGGTTAAAGTGGTTAATAAGATTGCTAAGCACAAACATGCACAATCAACATGAAAAATACCTCAATCATTGAATTAAACAATACCCATAAACAATCATTCAATTAACATAACAAAAACTACATGGTAAATAGTTAGGGTTTCACAACACACAAGTGAAAAAGAAATCTACTCCATGATAGAAATGGGAGAAACACAAGGGGAAGAGGTAGAAACCATCATGGAGATGCTTCCAATCTTCTTTGAGCTTGTGTTGAACTTCTCTTGGAGAGAATCTTCCCAATTCACCACTTGGAGCAAAACCCTAGCTTTCCTTCTCCTTTGGTTCGTCTTTCTCTCTCTAAAATCTAAAGAAGAAGACTTTCTCACTCTTTTGGGCTCTCCCCCTCTCTCTTCCTTTCATCTCTTCTTTAAAATAGGGACCGTGCTCAGTTCATGGCCTCAGTTCACGACCGTGAACTTTGAAACGCGTCTGTGAACTCAAGGTGGGCGTGGAAACGCATCGCTTTGCTTGCACGGGTTCACGGGCAACAGCTCCAATTCACGGTCTTAGTGAGAGTGAACTAACCTAGCGTCAGTAACTTCTAGAAATGCTCTGGACGCCTCGATGTTCACGGGCAACAGCTCTTCTTCACGGTCTTAGCAGACTGTGAACATCCAAGGAAAGCCATGAATCCTGTTTTTCACCTCTTCTCCCGATTTTCGCTCCTTTTCATCCAGCTTTCTACTTCGGGGCTAGTTTTACCCATTTAATCCCGAAACATGAAAAAACACGAGAAACCTAGCGTAAAACCACCCTTTTAGGAGCATAATTTTCACAAACGCCTAAGGACAACGGGGGTAAAACATGTACAATTAGGCCCGAATCACTCCCCCACACTTAGACGTTTCCTTGTCCACAAGCAAACCATTTCACACAAGGTAATATTTCAACCTACACAAATACTTTGGGTACAACTCGAAGGGAACAAAGTGGGAATTCTCAATGGCTATTGGCAATTAACACATGGACCGTTGCAAGCAATACTGACATCCACCATAAACGACATTTGAGGCCACCTAAAACGGGCAAACGAAAAGTTCTCACCCTGTTCATGGATCAATCCAAGTCTCAACAAGACCACTTATCAACCACAACTAACCATGCATGGAATTCAAGTCCGAGGAACAAATGGAAGGCAACCAAGGTCCTCACCGGGGTATGATATGACATGCAAAGCAAGAATGAATCACTCACTCTCAAGACCAGTGGGGTCGGAACTTTTTTGGTGCCAAAAGATGTTCACAGTCATTAACTCTCAGCCCTATCGAGGGAGCGACGCGCTTCCCAGGAAGCCGAGGGAGCGATGCGCTTCCCAGGAAGCCAAGGGAGCAATGCACTTTACAGGAAGCGGAGGAGCGACGCGATTCCCAGGAAGCGGAGGAGCGACGCGCTTCCCCGGAAGCCGAGGACCGACGCGCTTCCTAGGAAGCCAAGGAGAGACGCGATTCCCAGGAAGCCGAGGAGCGAAGCGCTTCCCAGGAAACCGAGGAGCGACGCGCTTCCCAGGAAGCCGAGGAGCGATGCGCTTCCCAGGAAGACTAGGAGCGATGCGCTTCCCATGAAGCCGAGTAGTGATGCGCTTCTCAGGAAGAGGAGGGAGCAATGCGCTTCCCAGAAAGCGGAGTGAGCAATGCGCTTCCGTGGAAGCCGAGGAGCGACGCGCTTCCGAGGAAGCTGAGAAGCGACGTGCATCCCAGGAAGCCGAGGAGCGACCCGCTTCCCAGGAAGC